ATGGCCAACAAATATAAAATAATGATTCTCAGCATCATTACTAATCAGAAAAATAAAAATTAAACAACAGTGAGGTACAATTTCTCACTTATGAATGGCAACAATTAAAGACTTTGACAGTGTTCAGTGTTGTCAAAAACTTGAAGAAATAGAAATTTGTGTACATTGGTGCTTAGTGGTACTAATATTTTGTATTAGTACTTACTAATACAGTAAGTTGAAGATGAACATGTCTTTAACTAGCAATTCCAGGTCCATGTGTGTGTAATATGCGATATGTATATAAACATTTGTTATTATATTGCTCATAAAAGCAAAAATTTGGGAATATACGTCAATAGGGAAATGGATGAATATACTGTATTCATGTACTGGAATAACATTGTGTAGTCAAAATAAATGAAGCAGATCTACATGAAACAATGTGGATTTATAGACTATACCTAAAACATAATGGTAGCAATGCATGATGACAATGGATACATAGTGTGACATCATAAATAATTTTAAAATGTGTAACAATACTTCATATTGCTGTGGGTGAATATATTCATAATACAAGCATTAAAATATGCACAGAAAGTATATACTCCAACATTAGGAGAGCAGTTACTTCTCAGGAGAGTAAGGGAGAGATGGGATGACAGAGGAACATTGGAGTCTTAAGCTCTATTTGCCACATTTCATTTCTTAAAATAGAAAAAGCACCTGAAACAAATCTGGCAAACTCCTATCATGTATTTTAAATTGGGTCAGTTATAATGTTTTCTGTAATTTTCTATGTTTGAAACAATTCATTATTAAAAATTCGAGTATAAAATATTAGCTCTATTTTTATGTTAACATTGTAAGCTAAGTTTAAAGGGAAGTATTAACCTTTAATGAGAGAAAATGTATAATATTTTTAAGTACAACATTTAGTAATAATCTTGGAAATACCAGTTAAAATAATGATTAGATACCACTTAATTATAAAGAAGTGATTTATTTTTCTGTTTATTTTAAACCAAATTGTTGGACATTTGCATAGATTCTTAGGTGGGGATAAATTGATTTAACTTTGTAATGCAGTTTGTTAGTATATACTGAGAGCATAAAAATGCTCATATCTCTTGACTAAGTTATTTCTCCCTCAAGGAGACAAATATTGTTAATCACTTAGTGGTAAAATATTGGATTGTTTTTATTTTTATCCTTATATTTTTCTTTTATTTTCTATATATTATACAGTGAGTATGATAATATATTTTAAAATGAAAAAAAACCTATTAATTTTACTTGAAAAACCCAAACACCCTAACAATAAAACTCCTGGGAAAATAATTAAATACTGTGTTAGAGTGACTGGGAATTGTATTGGGTATAGCCAAGCCCACAGAACAGATGGTTAAACCTGCTTGAGGAGGGTCTAGGAATGCTGTGCCAACAAGAAGATTCAACTTGTCAAGTAGTTATTAAGGAGGGATGGATACTATTTTCAAAGGAAAATTAAACATTCTAAGGCATAAAACTGTGTTCCTCACGTGTCATGCAAGTATACGTTCTAATCATTTGGATCCAGTGTTTTTAATGTACATCTTTGAGTGCCAACTCAAACCACTAAATCAAAACCCCTGGGCATGGGGCTTAGGAGTCTGTACTGTGCCTGGCTGCCCAGATGGCTCTCATGCACAAAATTTAATAACTGTATTATAGAAAAATAAAGCACTATGCTTTGGAAATTGAACACAATTTAGTGCAACTGAATTGTAGGTTATAGATGATGGTGTAATCGGGGAGATGAAGCTGGAGCAGAATGTCATGGTCTACTTGTATGAAGTCTTAAATGACATACTAGGGGCTTGGACAGTAACATGAAGATTTAATAGGAAACCACTAAAGAGTGTTTTTTTTTGTTTTAGGGTTTTTTTTAGAATTTTATTTATTTTTTTATACAGCAGGTTCTTATTAGTTATCCATTTTATACATATTAGTGCATATATATCAATCCCAATCTCCCAATTCAACCACTAAAGAGTTTTAAGCAGAAGAGTAACCTGATAAGATTATTTTTTTTTTAAGAAAGATTACCCTGGCCTTAGTGTGGATGATTGGATATGGAGCAGACATAGGCAGGGAGGAAACTTGGGAGAATGTTTTAATTTTCTGGAGTAAGATAAGGAGGATTAGAATAGGTTTGAATAGATACACTTGGCGACCAATTGATACAAGGGTGAAGGGAGAAGAAATAATTGTAGATGATTTTGATTCCCACATTTACTTGCCTCCATCTCTATATTTATGACAGAATATATAGACAACAAATATTTAAAGCTACAACTCTGCACTTTTCTGTTTTTTCTTATTTTTATCGCAAGACATTTCTTTTCTTTTTCTTTTTTTTTTTTAGAAACATGAAGCTTCTAAAGACAAGCTTCTATGACCACTCTTACAATACAGGGAAGGACATGCCAAAGGACAGTCCTTTACTAAATAACATCATTAGCTAAATGTCTACAAGACTGTTGGCAGAGATAACATGTACACTTGGAGGTACCATGATCCAGGCAATCTAGAACGGTCCACTGCAGTTTCTGTCGGTGAACATGTGACAATGTGTGTGCATAAGTGGTAGTCCAGAGTAATTTTTTTCAGTAAGAGGCTGTGATATTTGAAAGCTAGCCATTCCTTTTTTTGTGTCACGGAATGAGACATTCCTTTTAAACAGCTGTCTGGTAAAATCACAGTAGTGACCTGTCTTCAAGCTGATTGTGGCAAAAAGGAATTTCCCTTCAACTGCAGAATGTCCTACGACAGTTCTATTTATTTCGTCATTAGATTAAAATGGCAGAGGTTTGGGCTATTAGAACAGTTATATCAGAAAGTCTACCTCCTACCCTTGCTGAGCAGAAAGCTGTAGCTGTAAGCTAAGTCAGGTCCATGATCCCCAAAGGGCTTTGGTCCCAGGGTGGGTTAAAGTCAACAAATAAATCAAGCTTCCCTGTAGTGCTTGAAACCCCCTAACCACCATGCCCAGAGGCTCTGTATCGCTCACTCGACAACCCCAGAGCACACACAAGATCCTTCTGCTATAGTCATTCTCAGAAACCACCAAAAGCAGTCATAAATACAGGCCTTATTCAACTGAAAACCTTTTAATGACAGGCTTTTTGTTGTTGTTACATCTCATACTCTATAAAAGCACTGTCTCCTCTTTTTCCTCCTTTTAAAAATTGTTTTGGTTTGTTGGAGAAACTAGGATATTTGTCCTGTAGAATGTCCAATATTATGTATTTGGCTGATTGACTTTCCCTGGTTTCTTCCAACTTGCTCCTTTACCCACCAAGAGTACCTTACAATCTGGCAATATGATAGACAGTAAGCTCTAGAGATTGGCCTAACTTCAGGTTTAATTTTTTCTCTCTTTCTTTCTGAAAGATTACTTCATCAGAAAGGGTGTACACTTCTTATTGCATCACATCCAGAAGTGAATAATGTCTGTTGGCACACTTTTAGTAATGTTAAAATTATCCATGGGTTCAGAGACATTAGTCTGATTTCTCCATGATACTGTTCCCCATCAATCTTTCATGCCATGGTTTCAGCATCCACAGATGATCATTACCTAGATGCATACTTCATTAGGGGTATCTTCTAACATTTTGTTGCATGTATTAGGTGGGATTCTTCTATGAGTAACTTTCTCTCGTACACTATCTAGTTGTTAAGACTAAATAAAAAAGGATAAGTACTTTAGTATTTTTCTAATTCATCAGTTTTCAGAGTAATGAGATAATGCCCTAGCAACCTCTAAGAGTCACCAAGGAGGTGTATGTGTAATTATTAACTCATGTTATATTCATATTTATATACTTATGTATTTGTGGTCATTTTTTGTTTTGATGCTCATATTGCCTCATTTTAGGTCAGTGGAAGTCCCCAAATGTTACTCTTCTGTTTTTGTGACGTGATTCATTAGTCTTTTTTTTTTTTTAATTCATTAGTCTTTGATAGTTTCCTTGCTTTACAGAGTAAGATGGCCCAGGTTCATCTTACACATTTCCTGTCCCAGACCTAGACTCAGCAAGCTCTGGTTTCTTTTAGTGACCATAATCTGGACGGTAGGTGTACTTACTCCTACTGGATTGTCAAAAGAATTTTCAATGAAAGGGTGGCAAATACATTTTTATAGAATATATAATATAGTATTCTATGTATGATAGGTTCAAAATAACAATATTACTAATCAGACTAAAAAATGTATTTTTAGATAGCTTCAGAATTTATTTGACTCTTAGATTATATCCTCCAAAAGATACAGAGTCAAAATACTAGTTTTGAAAGTCACTGAAAATAATTATATACCCTTTTTGTAGTTATGCCACTATTTGATATTCATTTAGGTTCAATTGTTTTGTCTTGTTTCCAGTTTTAGAAGGAATGCTTTTTATTCTTTTTGATTTAATTTTGTTTTTTAATTACACAAAATATTTACATGATCCAGGATCAAAATTATAGTAAGGTACATTCACATAAATTTCACTTCCATACCTGTCCAATCCTTTGTCTCCTACCTCATCTTATAGGTAAACATTTTTAATATCTTTGTATCTTCTGTGATTTGTGTGTGTGTGTGTATTTATTCATATTGTTCTAGACCCTGTTTTTCTTTAATGTATCCTGAGGATCAGATGATATCCACATATAGATAATTTGCTGATTTTTCATCCATAATTTCTTCAACCAACCCCCTATTGATGAGTATCTGGTTTGTTTCCAGTTTTCAGTTATTCCAAATAATATATCAACTACAGCATATTAGCATTTTGGGGGGTTTTTTTGTCACAATACCTTTGGGATAGATTTTTAAAGGAGGCATTGCTCAAGAAAAGGGCAAATGTACTTATAATTTGGCCATATCAGGGGCATACTTTTAAACATTAATCTTGCCAAGAAAATGTAGGAATTTTAAAAAATCTTGTTGTTACAGAGAAAGAAAAAAACTGTTTAAAATGGGATGATCATATTTATCAGGAATATTTTATTAGTGGAATTTAAATTATTACATTTATGCATTGTCTCTGGTATAGTATAAATAAGCACCTTGAACAGTACAAAAATTTTAACAACTTAACGCTGAGTGGGGATGGATGGATAGCTGAAGAGAGAGAGAGACAGAGAATCCCCCCACCCCTACCCGAGGAGTGCATTTCTGGTTGTAATTACTTTACTAGCTTTTTAATTCAGTCAAAAAAGTTACTTTATTTTATTATCTTTTAAATGACACTGTAGAAATAGAAATAAGTTAGCAGTGTCTACATAGTAGCATTTGTAACATTTTTTGAAGTGTTGGTAAGTCTGCAAGTTTGTCTCCTTGGCCCCAAAATATAATCTAACTTTTAAATGCAAAATTAAATATATTTGCTGGTCCTTTTTATAATCCTATGTGTTAAAAGAATATGATTATATTGTCTTATATTTTTCAGTTACTATCATCTTCTGAAATCAGGGAGAGCAACCCCAAGAACTGGGTGAGTCATATTTGCTTTTATATCTTATGCACAGCAAGAATTTAACCTCATAAAAAAATAGTTGAACATTAAATTTAAAATAATAGATTCGCATTTGAATAGCAGCTAGTTATGTATAAAAAATACACAAATTTAAAAATATAACATAAGAACTGGTGAATAAATCACTAATGACTCGCTTACTTGTGTTACCATATTATCCTTCAGATATAACCATAAAGGCATTCACAAGATGACATACGGAAAAAAAAAAAGGGTTAAAATCGCTTCTTCTTAATTTTCAGTCTTCTACTTGCAAAGAGAAGCTTTGGCATCTTCTTGTTCTTTCCCTTTTTCAAGGCTAAGGTCAACAAAATAAAAATAAACATCATATTACCCAGTCTGTAGGCTCGCTATAAATCACCACTTACGACATGCTTACAAACTCACCTCATCTTAATTTTAATGATTATAAAGTCAGTTTTACTCACTATCCACTTAGTCAATAACACTCTACCTAGCCAGTATAAGCATTTTGACAAAACTGACCAGTACTAAAGCGCTATCTATGTAGAAGTAGTCTAGAAATGGCAATATGTTATTAGTAAAATGGATACATCAAAATATAATTTTGCTTATGAGTTATTTATAAAGTTAGTTTAAAAATTGAATAAGAAAAAAATCCACTACCTTTTACACAAATGCGTTTGCAGTCCTTCACGTTAACAAAGTTATTGTTATTCCCTCCACAGCCAGTATAGGTGAAGGCCTCACAGGCTTTGTGTCTTGGATTAAAATAATAGCGAGTTGCATTAGCAGAGCATAGTCCCTCATCTTTTGGACTATAGCAAAATGATGGACCTTAATGAAAAAGAAAATAAAATTAAAAATGCAGTAATAGCAGATTTACTAAACTGTGCTGATTACTGAAGTAACTGAAGAAAATCTAATCCCACAGAAGCTTCGTTCTGAATCCAAAATATACTACGCCATTTAAAAAGTGTGCCTTGAATTTCAAAACAGCTGACATGCCATATTTTGTTAACTCTAAATTTTTATAAAGTGGACAGAATATCAAGCTATATCCTTGTATCGTTTGAATGTGTAAAGAAATTAAACCCGAAAAACAGATATGGACAGGTAAAAATGGGCTACATTTCATGGGAAAATATGTGACATGCTTTGGTAAACTCTCTTGTGTTGGTAGTTTTATTTTAAATGTTTTTATCAGCTCTCCTTCCATTATTAATCAAGAATACATGTATCTAATTCCCAGGTAGCCACTGGAACACTTACATTTACATAAACAATTTAAAAGAACGCCAGCAAGAACCATCTCCTCATTAATTCAAGATTTTGCATATTCAACACCGTATAGCTACAGAGCTTTATCAAAGTCTCTGCCAAAGCAAGTTTTCCTTGTTTGTTGAACTTATTTGTCTCTGTGTACGTGTCTCTGCTATGCCTACGGAAAATGCCTGTACAAACATTACATACTACCCAAGTAACCCATGGTTTTAGGGATTGTGTGGGGGGAATGTAGGTAAGCAATGGGGAAGAGAGAAAAGAGGGATAGAGATCAATTTGTGCTACAATTTGTAACTACTAAAGAACACAGAAATCTAACCAAAAACTTTAGAAATTTTCAGGTTTCACCATGAAGTCTTTCTATCACACTATCTCATATATACAACTGATTTCATACAAACCTGAGGTCATGTCATTAATGAAGATTGTAATTTTTTACGTGTAAATTACGTAGATGAGAAATAGTTCTAAAGAAACAATGCAGAAGAGGAAGCAAAACTTGAATCATAGCTTTGTCACTTTCCAGCCCTGAGAACTTGGCAAGTTGTTAACTTCTAGCTTGCACTCTAATATGTAGAACAGGGGATAATAATACTCCCTCACAGGGCAATAGTGTGAAGATTGATATCATATTATATGTGAAATCACCAGAACGCAAACCATGTTCATTCCACATCAAATTGTTAACTTTTTCACCCTAAAGCCTTAATAAAGAAATGAAATAGAAACACTGTAAAAAGAATATTTACCTTTCTTTGGTGCACAGAAGCCCATACAAGTAGCTTCATCCGGGAACCGGTTCTCACTGCTGTGACACCCACCAGATATGAATTTTTCACATGCCATGGAACTTAGATTGAAGAAATACACTTCTCTGAGCTCCCCACACTGCCTCTTACTGACTTCCAACCGGCAAATCTTGGGAACTTCTAGGACAAGAAGAGCATAAAACAATGTTAGTAAAAATTTAACCTTCTTGGTATTACTTTCAAAACTTGACTGTATTTTCAGAAACAACTGGTGGTGGCCAGGGTGGAGTGGGGGAAGGCATCATATTTAGTGCTGGGCTAGTAAACCCCCAAAAGACTGCCCACTAGTCCAGTTACAGTGAGACCTTGTATCCCTGGGTCCAGAATCCACAGATTCAACCAACCCCAGACAGAAAATATTCAGGAAAAAAAATTCCAGAAAGTTCAAAAAAAAAAAAAGCGAAACTTAAATTTGTCCTATGGTGGCAACTATATGCCTAGCATTTATGTTGTATTAGGCATTATAAGTAATCTAGAGATGATTTAAAGTATAAGGGAGGATGTGCATATGTTATAGACAAACGCTGTGGATTTTGGTATGGGTGGGGTGGGGTCCTGGAACCAATCCCCACAGACACTGAGAGGCAACTGGATTCGGCTTTTTTTTTTTTTTTTTTTAACAGTGTCTCCAGACTTGGCTCGGCTATGATAAATTTTCAACTTCAGTGGAAAGACTGTTCTCTCAGAGTATTCTGATTGTTTCTACATACAAAGTTAATCAAACTTATTCGTAGGAATACACATTTTTCCCTGGCTCAATTCCTTGAATAGCAGAGCCCCAGGTTCTGTTACAGGCCTTAACAGAGATAATAAACATAATTAAAATAAAATCGAAAACAGCATCATGAATCTCCACTATATCTCTATACTAATCTAAGACCTGATGGGGTATCGGGGACAAAAATAAGGTTATAATTAGCTAAATCACACTTTAATAACAAAATCCACTAAAAGTATTTCAGATTGATAGATAGTGGACACGAGAAAATGCTATTCTCAAGGAGGCATAAAAACCATAGGTTTAGAACTATAATAAATACAGAAAAGCCCTTATGTTGCACCTAATACATTATACTCTTGCAGTGTTACGTCTTACTGGTGAAATCTTTTCCTGAGTCTGCACACGCAGTGAATTATGATAAATGCCAGTTAGGAGAGAGGAGATGTCTTAGGCGTTGTAAACTTTGTGATCACTTGTGGTAAACTGAAAAGCATTAAAAGCCTTAATATTTGAGAAAATTCAGGCTAAAACTTACTGTAGAAGATGGGATCTGGAAAATAAGCTAAGTTACTACTAGCCCTTCAGTGCAAGGAGCAGCACAAGAGTCCTGAGTGTGCGTGCGAGCACTTACTCTGTATCCTCCAGCAAGCTTCATCGCAGGCCTCCCAAGTTTCGAAATTGTTGGCATTGCCCTCGCAGCCCCCATACATGAACTCGCGGCAGCTCTGCGTATACCTGTCATAGTAGTAACTGGGGATCCGGGCCCGGCAGGGCCCTTCGTCCGGGGGTAGGAGGCAGATCTCCGCGTTATTTCCTACAGGAGGGGCAGAAGGAGAGCCAGAGAGTGAGAGAAGGAGGTCAGCCACATCTCCGCGGAGGGAGAAGCTTCCCGGGGAGTTCTGTCCCGGCAGCTTCCCAGCACAGCAGAAGGGCATCTGCAGAGAAAGAAAGTGCAAACTTGGGTGCAAGTGCCCCGTTGCGTGGTGCACGGCAGGGATCGGGGAAAGCGGGGCACAGAGAGCGAGTGCAGGGGTCCGCGGAGCCCTCGCCGCCTGGCCGGGGCGATAAGGGGGTCCCCTGGGCAGGGAGATACCTGGCGGCGCTTGAGGAGCATCTCCCAGCGCAGTTCCCACCAGGAGCAGCGGCAGAACCACCAGCTGGAGGGGGCGAACAGAGTACATGGTGTCTGGATTCAAGCCGCCCGTGGGGTGAGGCGTCCCCAGAATGTGCCAGCGGGAGGAAGGTGCACAGCGTCCAACCTCGAGGCAGTCTGAGTTCCAGCGTGGTGGGTGCCGCTGCTTTATGTAGGGTGAGCGTCCTTCTGACCTGGGACAGGGCGGAGCGTGCCTTTGCGGAGCCTGGAGGGGAGACTGATTCATGCCCTGAGAGCGCTGACCCTGCCGCCCCCTGGACGCTGGAGAGTGTGTGCGGCGGTGGGTGGGGGTTGGGCGGGGAGAGGAATTCCCCACCAAGTTGAACCTGCCTCCCAAACTTTCTCCAGTGGCCGAGCGGGGATGACCAGATGGGGCATTGTGTCAGAGATGGGAAGTCCACAGGCTAGAGGGAAATGACCTGGGTGTGATTGCACAAGGTTCCGACTTGCAGCATCACGCTGAAGCTTGAATCCACACTTTGAAAGCACAAAGTCCAGGTCTTTGAAGGGCAGAAAGTGTGAAATTCACAGGGCCAAGGGGAGCTGGGCTCATTGCATTAGACCCTTTAATAGAAATGTAAGTATATGTATTTCTTTACATTTATACATAGATATACACATTCATATTTCAATCGAGCTCTGATTTACATTTCATAAAAGGTTCATAATATTACAGTTGGATCAGTTTTGACAACTATATATACCCTTGTAATCACCACTCCAATCAAGAATTAAACATTTCCATCACCCCAGAACATTCTCTCAAACCCTTTCCCAGTCAATCCTTCCAACCCCAGGCCAGGGGCAACCATTCTGAGCACCACAGATTGGTTTCACCTGTTGTAAATCTCATGCAAATGGAATCATAAGATATTTACTGTTTTGTACTTCTTTTACTCCACTACCGTTTTTAAGACACACATGCTATTGTAGAGTTTGTTCCTTGTAAGTGTTGAGCAGTCTTCCAATGTATGAGTATACAACAAAGGTCCTATTATTGGACATTTGTGTTATTTCTATTTGGGGCAACTATGAATAAAGCTGCTTTGTGTGTGCAAACAAATTTTATTACTCTCAAGTAAAATATTTTAAAATATTAGAAACTGCCAGACAGTTTTCCAGAATGATTATACCATTTTACACCGCCATCAGCTATGTGTTAGTGTTTTAACTATGTTTTTGGAGCTGGAACATGAAAGTCCAAAGAGAGGTGGCCTTAGGGGGGATCCTGAAGCTTTGGCCAGATCAGCCCCTTCCCATACATTTCTTAGTGTCAGTGCATCTATTATAGTTAATTGTTCCTTTGATATATTAGCCTGAGCCTAACTTTTTATCTATACAAAACAAATTATCTACACTGGGATTTTACATGAAATATCAAGGATATTTTTGGAGAACATTTTAATGGGTTCTCTTGATGAATGTGTCTTCCCTTCCTCCCCCTTTTCCTCTTGCTCTATTTAATATTCTTAAGGGAATAATTATCCTTGGCTTCTCCTAAAGATACTGGAGGGAGTTTACAGGAATTCTCTTTCAAGTTTCTGAGAATCTCTGTGCTTACAGCGAGTTAATCGTCTGGGATGTTTTCACACTATAACCCCTTGGGCCAGTTTTCAGTTATCTTGATGTCATGACAGAGAACCATATTCCTAGGAAAACTAACCTGGTCTGGAAATGCTGTGTCATTTATGCTGTCAGATTACTAGATATCTATGATTAAGAATGACAGAGATGTAAGGATACATGTTTAACAACAAGCTCACCAGGAGAAAAAAAAGGGCGGTGGGGCGGCGGGGGGGGGCGATTGGTGGTTTGTATATTTTACTGATTTCCATGGAGTAAATGCTCTCACTTTGGCTTGATTTCAAGCTGCCAGAGTTGGAAATAGATGGGTACAATCAGTTCACCAGAGCCAGTGTGAGCTGACTCCCGCACGCCAAGTCCTGCGGCAGCCAGCTGGTTTTGGAAAAACACACTCATATGAGAATCAGATAAGACCTTCCCAATACCTCCCAAATATTATTAGGGGAGGAAAATTTTACCACACGTTTATACAGGATCATGTTTGGAAGAAAAGCTAATTCAACGTCAAACTTAACCTATTTCCATTCTTCTGAATATGATTAAATATATCTCCGAAACGGACTAAAACAAATTCAAGGACAGAGACTCAGTCAGACTTATCATTTAGCATTAACTATTGTCACTTCTGTTCTTTGTTCTCAGCTGCTGGCAGTTTTTAATCATCTTTTGCTTCATGTAGAAAGAGAAATCTTTGGAATTAGGGCAGTTTATTTTGGGAAATTGCATAGTGCAATGGGAAAGCAGACTTGGGAGTCTGAGGAAACCTGGATTTTATTCCTTGTTCCTTTGGACAAGTTACATAAAATCTCAGAGCCTCAGTTTTCTTATCTGTGAAATGGATATAATCACTGTCCCGTACAAGTGTGCTATAAGGATTAACGGGAAAGCGCCTAGGAACTCTGAGAGATGTGCTCCTCACATACAGGCACAGAATCCATCGGAATTGTCCCATGTCGCAGTTACCACTGAAAGCCTCGGCAGAGCATTTTAAGATGGAGCATTAGCCACAATCAAGAAACACAGCAGCATGAACTGGCCTTGCTCCCATCAGCTCTCCTCTTTGGCTGTGCTCAGAGGTCACCTCTCCACGTAGGAAGGTGTCACACAATCAGATACCACTTTGTGATAGTCTCTTCTGGGGAAATGAGCTTCAGGGTTCTCTCAGCCCCAGCAGATACTCAGTCCACTCAGGCCTGCTGTGTAACAGATGGAGGCGGAGGGGTTCAAAACCAGGCTTTTCACCCCTCCGTGGTATGGAGTCTATAGACACAGGTTGAAATCTGTATTCAGAGGTTCTCTAGAAATGTTAGTTTCCTCCCTTGTTCTATGTCAAATAGGGTGCGTCTCTAACACCTCTGTGACCGCTGAGTAGGGACAGGGAAGGAGAAGTGAACAAGTGGGGGGAGTCAGAATTTTGAGATTGTCAAGCCAGATGATCAGGAAGGAAATTACTCCTCAATTGCAAAACACTTGAGTATTTTTATATCCATGAAAAAGATATTTTCCTATATAAGAGGAATCTAAAATTCCTGGGACTACTTTAAATTACTGGATTTATCCTTAGGATTATGTGGAAGTAGCCATGTGACCACCACGATCAGCCTCCCCATAGGGATGTCATAGTACTTCTATTTCCTTAAACCAGTGTCTAGGCCAAAAGGTTACCACAGCTGAGGAAAAGAATTCCTTAATCCAAAGTCAACAGGAAGTACAAGGCTGGAGGGATCAGGGAAGAACCGTCACCCAGATTGATTTGTCATTGCCAGACCAAGTGACAGCTCTAGTGGCTGCAGCTAAAGACAGAGGCTCAAAATAGTTTAGATCTCTGTAAAATAAGGCATGGAATTCTTATAATTTGAATGCTGAAGAGAACTATCAATACCATCTGTTCCAGTATTTTTATTTTACATTTACAAATTGAGACCTAGAAAGATAAAATGGCTGGTCATGTTTAATTACCTTAGTTTGTTGGCAGAGCTGAGACTAGAACCCACATTCCTGATACTCACTCAGTCTTGTATTCTTTCTGACATACCCAGACCTAAGCTCTTTCTACTGTATCAAGACCGTAGAGCAGAACACTAAACTCCAGAATTGAAACACACAAAGGCTCCCATGAGTTCAGGAGCAGCTTTGAGGTGTCAGATCCTTGCCTCTGTTCTTCTCCACACCCTCCCCCGCATTGGACCCATAACAAGTGGATGTGAAGGTGACTTGGAACACAGTAGCTCCTAGAATTCCCAAGCCTTGAGCATGCTGTTCTACCCTCTGAGAGCTCCACAGTCTTGAAAGGTGACCGTGAATTTAAAGAAAAGATTGAGATAGATGGTCTTCCTCTCTGTCAGATACCTTAGGGAGAGGTGGCATGTCTAACTTACGAGTGAATGAGGAGAATTAATTTAGCCCAGTGATTTGGGGTTGTGTATAACATAACATAGTCACTTAAGGAGTTACACTGATAACTTCTTTTTTTTTTTTGTGGTATGCGGGCCTCTTACTGTTGTGGTCTCTCCCGTTGCGGAGCACAGGCTCCGGACGCGCAGGCTCAGCAGCCATGGCTCATGGGCCTAGCCGCTCCGCGGCATGTGGGATCTTCCCGGACCGGGGCACGAACCCGTGTCCCCTGCATCGGCAGGCGGACTCTCAACCACTGCACCACCAGGGAAGCCCACTGATAACTTCTGAATAAACAAAGTTCTTGCTGCCCGTTAGTTTAGCCCTGTCAAAATAAAATCTGAAATGAGTCCAGCTGGCACTAACAAGGAGTTTGCACATCTGCTAAGAAAGGCAGTTAATCTCTTCTGAGAGATTAGGGGTCATGAGAGTTCTGTTAAAGTTTAGACAGCTCCTTCACCAACTAGACATTTTTCCAGCGGGTTGGGCCTTGTAGGAAATGTTTGCTCTAATGCACCCTCTGTCGGACACAGAGTGCATTTGTCAGTGTTGTAATAAAGTGGAGTCACTTAGAAGATGAGACATTCCCCATGCCTAATTTTATTATTCTCCTTCTCCCTAGGCAGAACAAGATAATGGAGTGTATAATGTGTCTCTTACCATGGCCATTCTTTCATTCACCTATTTTAAAAATAAGCAGATTAAACATTTAAAATGTGCCCAACTTTGTGCCTTTGTGCACATTTGGGATACAAAGATGAATAAACACATTAGGGATCTCACGGCAAAACAGGGTAGACAGATGAACACTCTATGACCCAGTCACAACATAGTGTTCTTATTATAATATTAAAAATATGTACCAGGTTCTATGGGACTATGGAGGATGAAATAAATAAAACTTAAGCAAGAGTTCAATTAGAAATAAAAACCAATCCACACAAACATATCTCACATTACATCTTCAGTGCCTGTGGGACACAGACACTTTTCTTCATCAGCTAGTTGCTTTGGTTGGTTCTTTTAGCAGCTGTGGTTATGACAAAGCATTGCCTTCTGCAGAAGGGCAGGATCTCAGAAACCCCCTTTCTCTTCTTCCTAGATGTATGTTCCCTCAAAGGTCGTGCCTACGTAGGATGCGGACCATCTTTTTTCTCACTCAGGTGCTGCACATTTAACTATGTAGGGCACACAGAAGGTTGGAACAGATTTTGGACTATTTTATCCAAGACTTTTCTGGCATAATGCAGCTTCACCACCTACCCAGAATTCTAGCTGGGGTTACCAGTCCACTAGAGAGTGACACATTAAGAA